CTAATATTCATGTATGTGCTGACATTTCTCTATTTTCTTCTTATCAGGTCGGGAGAGGTTCCTCCTTGTTGATGGGAAACGGGTCGCTTGCGGCTGTTCATGGTGTTGGTACGGTCGATCTGAAGTTTACTTCGGGAAAGACCGTGCAGCTGAAGAACGTGCAGCATGTCCCTTCAATAAAGAAGAATCTAGTTAGCGGCTCTCTATTGTGTAGAGAAGGTTTTAGACTTGTGTTTGAGTCCAATAAATGTGTCGTATCTAAATATGGGACTTTTGTTGGAAAAGGTTATGACAGCGGAGGCTTGTTCCGCTTTTCTTTGAATGACATGTGTAATAATCATAATGCTGTGAACCATATTAGCGAGAATGATGAGTCTAATGTGTGGCATTCGCGACTCTGTCATGTGAATTTCGGTTGTATGACGCGCTTAGCTAACATGAGTTTAATTCCAAAATTCACTTTGGTAAAAGATTCCAAGTGCCATACTTGTGTTCAATCGAAACAACCTCGCAAGCCTCACAAGGCATCTGAGGCGAGGAATTTGGCACCTCTAGAACTTGTTCATTCCGATTTGTGCGAAATGAACGGCGTGTTGACTAAAGGGGGAAAGAAATATTTCACGACACTGATAGATGATTGCACTAGATTTTGCTATGTGTATCTATTGAAAACAAAGGATGAGGCATTGCATTTCTTTAAAATCTATAAAGCTGAGGTAGAAAACCAACTTGAAAGGAAAATCAAACGGTTGAGGTCTGATAGAGGTGGGGAGTATTTTTCCAATGAGTTTGCATCCTTTTGCGAAGAGTTTGGAATTATTCATGAGATGACGCCTCCCTATTCACCCCAATCAAATGGGGTGGCCGAAAGAAAGAACCGTACTCTAACTGAGATGGTGAATGCCATGTTAGACACTGCGGGGCTTTCCAAGGAATGGTGGGGTGAGGCAGTTTTGACTGCGTGTCATGTCCTGAATAAAATTCCAATGAAACATAAGGAAGTAACACCATTCGAGGAATGGGAAAGGAAGAAATTAAATCTCTCATACCTACGAACATGGGGCTGTTTGGCCAAGGTAAATGTACCTATAGCCAAAAAGCGGAAACTTGGACCAAAAACTGTTGATTGTGTGTTTCTTGGTTATGCTATCCACAGTGTGGGTTATAGATTCTTAATAGTAAACTCTGGAGTACCCGACATGCATGTTGGTACAATTCTTGAGTCCAGAGATGCTACATTCTTTGAGAATGAATTTCCTATGAAATATACACCTAGCACTTCTAGTAAAGAAACTGTCATGCCCCATGAGCACTTTGCACCGATAGAACACAATGATCAAACGCCTGAGGAAAATCCTGAGGAGGACAACATTGTAGATACTCGCAAGAGTAAGAGACAAAGGGTTGCAAAATCCTTTGGAGATGACTACATTGTATACCTCGTGGATGACACCCCAAGAACCATAGAAGAGGCATATTCATCTCCTGACGCTGACTACTGGAAGGAAGCAGTACGCAGTGAAATGGACTCGATTATGTCTAATGGTACTTGGGAAGTCGTTGAGCGTCCATATGGGTGCAAGCCCGTAGGATGCAAATGGGTTTTCAAGAAAAAGCTTAGGCCTGATGGTACAATCGAAAAGTACAAGGCAAGGCTTGTGGCCAAGGGTTATACCCAAAAGGAAGGCGAGGACTTCTTCGACACATACTCACCAGTTGCTCGCTTGACCACGATTCGAGTACTACTTGCTCTGGCAGCCTCTCATGGTCTTCTCGTCCATCAGATGGACGTTAAGACAGCTTTCCTAAACGGAGAGCTGGAGGAGGAGATCTATATGGATCAACCAGACGGTTATGTACTAGAAGGTCAGGAGGGAATGGTATGTAAACTATTGAAATCCTTGTATGGCCTCAAGCAAGCACCTAAGCAATGGCATGAGAAGTTTGACACCACGCTTACATCTGCAGGCTTTGTTGTGAACGAAGCTGACAAATGTGTATACTATCGCTATGGTGGGGGAGAAGGGGTGATCTTGTGCTTATATGTCGATGACATACTGATCTTTGGGACCAGCCTTAATGTGATTGAGGAGGTCAAAGACTATCTGTCCAAGAGTTTTGAAATGAAGGATTTGGGAGAGGCTGATGTTATTCTTAACATCAAACTACAAAGAGGAGATGAGGGTGGGATTACACTTGTGCAATCCCACTATGTGGACAAGGTTTTGAGTCGCTTTGGATATAGTGACTGCAAGCCAGCTCCTACTCCTTATGATCCCAGCGTGCTATTAAGGAAAAACCGAAGAATAGCAAGGGATCAGCTGAGATACTCTCAAATCATTGGTTCATTGATGTACTTGGCTAGCGCAACGAGGCCTGACATCTCATTTGCTGTAAGCAAGCTGAGCCGGTTTGTCTCAAATCCGGGAGATGATCATTGGCAGGCTCTGGAAAGAGTAATGCGCTATCTAAAGGGTACTATGAGCTATGGAATTCACTATACCGGGTATCCAAAAGTACTAGAAGGGTATAGTGACTCAAACTGGATATCTGATGCTGATGAGATAAAAGCCACAAGTGGATATGTGTTCACACTTGGAGGTGGCGCTGTTTCCTGGAAGTCTTGCAAGCAGACCATCTTAACGAGGTCAACAATGGAAACAGAACTTACAGCACTAGATACTGCGACAGTTGAGGCCGAGTGGCTTCGTGAACTCCTGATGGATTTGCCGGTGGTTGAAAAACCAGTGCCAGCTATCCTAATGAACTGCGATAATCAAACAGTGATTATTAAAGTGAACAGTTCAAAGGACAACATGAAGTCATCTAGACACATCAAGAGAAGACTGAAATCTGTCAGAAAGCAGAAAAACTCCGGAGTGATAACATTGGACTATGTCCAAACGGCTAGAAATCTGGCAGATCAGTTTACCAAGGGGCTACCACGTAATGTGATAGACAGTGCATCGAGGGAAATGGGCTTGATACCCACCTAAGGTTGCATAATAGTGGAAACCTGTCCATTATGATCGGAGATCCCGTGAATTTGGATGGTGAAACAAACTATTGTGTGACTGAAAGAAGAGACCCTTGAAAAGGGCTCATTTTCATGATGTGCTTCTCTTCTTTCCTGCATGGTAGGATGGCTTATGTCTTAATGTGATCCGAGTGGCTTTTCCAAGCAGAGATGTTGACCTGCAGAACATCTTAGAAGGAACACACCTATATGAGTTCGACTGCTAGTCACAGTCTATGAGATTTGGGTGATCTCTAGATACTCATGAAAGGCCTGGAGTATGACTTATAAGCTCCAACCCGAGGGAATACTAATGGTTGCCTAGTATCAGTTATGGAATTGAGTGAAACCTAACTGCACAAGACTGACAATTCAAGGCATAGTCCATTGTTCAGTTGTGGTCAGGTGTAGCTCCTTTTCTAGGTGAAAGTTCAACTTAACAGTCTTCACCGAAACACTGGTATATAAAAGTTGCTATGGAATAGAGAGCATTCTCATGAGCCTTGAAATTTGGTGGGGATTGTTAGATTTAATTGGGTAATTGATCCATTTAAATCAATTAAATCAAATAAATTCTAAGGCTCATTATGCTAGGAATTCATGTGAATTCATTCTTCTATGGGATATCAATGGGATGAAGAGTTTTGAGAATTAATCCATTTGATTAAGGAATTGGTAACTTATATCAATTAGTCCTAATTGATGGATGGTTGATGGTTGTGTAGTGGAGGATGGTTCATGGCTAGTTGATGACAATTAGTTGTTCTATTCCTCTTCCTATTCCATTGGTAACTTACATCAATTACTCTTAATTGATTGTTGGTTGATGGTTGTGTAGTGGAGGATGGTTCATGGCTAGTTGATGACAATTAGTTGCTCCATTCCTCTTCCTATTCCATGACTCTTACTCTTCATCTTCCATTCCTCTTATAAAATGAGAATAGATTTGATCTCCCGCGAGAAGAAGAAGACACACTTTCATCCATTTTCAAAAGCTGTTGCTGCTACGGTAATCCCATCCCGACGAGTGTGTGCACACGCGTTGGGAGAGTAGGCCTCCGAAACCACGCGTTGCTGCGACGTTTGCACAGACGGGCGGGCGATCAGGTTTTTGGGGAGCGCAAGGCGCGACTACTCACTGTTCGTCAACATCTACTTCATCTTCACCAACATGTCGAACACTGGAGACAAGGAGAAGGAGACTCCCGTCAACACCAACGGAGGCAATACTGCCTCAAACTCCAGCGGAGGACCATTCTTGGGGTATAACCTTATTACATTATTTCAATTAGAAGTTTTACTGTTAATGTTCATCGCAATGTCAACATTGTGTCATTATGTGATTGTTGATGCTTATTCAACGTTAAGCATGCTCATGTTGATTACATTCACCACTATCACTGGATCAAATCCTATTGTAAATATCATGTTTATTATCTTGTTATTTTGGATTAAAATATGCCGAATTATGACCAAATTTCCAACAAGTACAATTAGAAAAAAAATAGTCCAAAGAAAAATACAATTTGAAATATATGTATTTCAGAATAAGAAATGAAAAAAATTAAAAGAAGTGTCCATATAAATATGGAATTTATCAAACCTTAAATTCGGCTTAAAAGTTTAGAAATAAATAATAACGAGATAAGAATCCATGTGAAACACAGCTTAGGGACTATGAAATTGGGATTAAAATTTTGTTAGTATTGATAGAAGAGTCCATAGAGAAATACAATTTAGAAATGTATAAAAGTTATATATTGAAAAATAAATATTATAAATTAAAGAGTTGTTGAGAAGTATGATTTAGATATACTTTAAATTCAGGTTAAAACAACATAATATAAAGAGAAAGGGTCCACGTAGAAATAAAGTTTAGAAATATCTTTAGTTTGGGTTAAAATAAATGTATTATTTAGAAAAGTCACATATTAATTGAAAATTATAGTATTCACGCGTTAATAAATAAACAAAAATAGCTTGATTGTTCAAACTACATTAAAAATACAACTAACAGATGAGATTAAATCCTTAATTAGTCATGTCCTAACGTGACAACGGAGTTCCTAGAGTCTAAGCCATGAGCAACAATAACAAAATATAATAATATAAAACTAAAAAAATAAGGAACTGTCAATGACAATGGATATTTTATATTTGAAGCAGGTTATGGACTATGACAGATATATATGTACAATATGCCATTATTAGTAGGTGAAATTAATAACATAATTAAACATAATAGGAAGATCCTATTAATTAATAGGATAAAAATGTAGGGAAGAAGTGAAATAAATATGCCATAAAGAACAAAATTTAAAATTATGTTCACATTTCAATGTTTTTTCTAGTAAAATGCGAAATTATGTATGCTATTATGTGACAAAAGATTATAAAAATACTATAGTTGTGCAATCGGCATGGATCATCACGCTAGTTACTATATATGATAGGAGCAAGTTTAATAATATAGTCAGCTACTAGCTACAAAAATTAAAATATCATCTATAGCCAATCTAATAGCTCACTACTCATACAATAGTTAGATGTAGATATATACTACGTCATTAATATCTAATTCACCCCTATCTCTCATATAGTTTATTGAACCCTATGCTGCAGCTAGCTACAAATTTGTAGTCCGTTTTTCTTCTCTCTCTGTATAACCACAAATGTGTTGTGGCAATTTGTACAACCCGTTTACATCATTTTATACCCTAAGTAAAAAATAAAAGAAGGCAATGCGTTGAAACGGCTTACTGAAAAGTATGTTTAATTGAGGTAAGAACATGCCTAAAAACAAAGACGTCGTCACACGCGCGTTAATTAGCTATACCCAAATCTCACTGAACTTTGACGAATATTTACAGATACACCATGTATATTCTTCACGAATTCATTTATCTGTCAGCATGAAGAATAAATAAGTTAAGAAAGGGGCAGGAAACTGACCTGAAGACCCATATTCTTAGGCCAGCTGCAATAAGCTCATGGTAGATAGGAAGCACGGACCTTGGCGAATCTCTCCAGTTGTCGTTGAGGATGTCACTGCCATACACTCAACAGTTTTACAAGCCAAATGAGCAGAGCTATCCACATGAACCTGGTGTACTACTATGTACAAACACCATGTTCGTGAAAATTTTCTTTTAAATTTCAGACTGTCACAATCTTGTTACTATATTATGCTGGAGTAGTTAATTAGGAAGTGATTGCTTCCTGTGACGTGTTGTGCTATGGAAAAGGACCAAGTAGAAGAATCCTTTTAGTACCGTAGTACTTCCTCCGGCTCACGAAGACTTCATTTTTCAGTTTTTATACAACGTTTGACTTTTTATCTTATTTAAAAAAAATTTATAATTACTATTTTTATTGTTATTAGATGATAAAACTTGAATAATACTTTATGCATGATTATTTTTTTATTTTTTTTAAAAAAAAATTAAATAAGACGGATAGTCAAACGTTGGACATAAAAATCTAAAAGTAAAGTCTTCGTGGGACTGAGTGGGTAAGAAAAATAAACAGAGACCAATCATTGGAAGTTTCAGTCAGAGTATTCCTATTGGAGATCAAAAAGTTTAATCAACAAATTTATAATAGAAATAGGAGTAGATAAGTACTCAATAAAAGGCTAAAACTTCATCACTTCTTTGTTGTGTAGCTGTCATGGCCACGTGGATTCTTTGTTTCCAATTGCAGATGGTTTATTTCTTTTTTAGCTGGCAAGGTTTTTCACTTTTATTTGTGGGCTTTCTAAACCGACCCTAATTAATTTATTATACGAACGTGAATGATTACACGAACCCTATTTGACAAAGAGACTCAAAGTTATATTTTCGTTATCTTAAAAAAGCATTAAAAGGTACTGTTGCGTAAAACAGAGAAAGCCTAAAACTCCATGGTCTACAACTACACGTACAGTAAAAAACGGGGAAACCCCACAGATTTGTGGGACCATTTGAAAATGTAAGAAACTTTGGGAAAGCACCGATGATGTGGTGACAAAGTCACATATACACGACCTTTTGTCTATCAGGTTCAAAATTAGAACATGTGTGTTTTTAATAGTAGAATTTTAGACGAGGAATTTGTCGTTGGTCTTCGTCTCTACGAGTAATTAAAGCATGTGTGTTTTCTCGTGCGTGTGAATGTACGTGTCTTCCATGTGTCAATGTAAAGAAAAAAGGTATTAAACTTTTTGGCAAGCAGGCATGCATGCATGCACAAACTAACCTGCACGTCGCCCATGTGTAGTTTATGCCAGTGACGTTGGCGTGGAGCGCCCTCTGCACTTCCGGCCGGTTGTAGTACTCCGTTGAGTATCTCTCCGTGCACGGATCATACGACCCTGTCATCCACGGCTGCATATACACACACAAAACATTTACATTTCACATAACAAAACTTTCCAGAAAAATAAAGTAGAAAACAACAACACAAATCGAGGAAAAATAAGGCTGTGTGCATCCTTGAGTGTAGAGGCCGGTTTAATCCATTATATAAAAATTGAGAAAAAAAATTAAACGCACATAGTGGCCTTGCTTGAGCCGCCGCTGCCTCGCCGCCGCCGACGAGGTGGAGGTCTCGTTGCAGGTGGGCGTGTAGAGGCTGTACATGTCGATGTCGCCCTGCTCCACCGTGGAGGCGTTGAGCGCGGCGAGGCACGCCGGTGCCGGGTGCTCGCCGGAGTCGTGCACGCACGACGCGTTCAGCAGCCGGTACGTGCCGTCGGAGATGATCCCGTGGTTCCACCAGTACTCGAACGTGCCGATGTAGTCGTGGTAGTCGTCCGTCACGGCGTTCCCCACCTGAAATCGTACAATTATTCATTCAAAGGCCGAGTTTAATTTCAAACTTTTTCCACAAACTTTCAACTTTTTCTTCACATCAAAATTTTTCTACACGCATAAACTTTCAACTTTTCCGTCACATCGTTCCAATTTCAACCAAATTTTTAATTTTAGCGTGAACTAAACACACCTAAAGTCGCCGTTTGTACTTTCATTTTTTTCTATTTCTCAAAGTATATAAGTGAATTTGTTGGTCTTTATCTACTGGTACGAGTGCATGCAATTCAATATAGCGAATGATGGTAAGGGAAGGGAAGGTGTATGTAATGTGTACTACGTACCATGAAGCCTTTGAAGTTGATCAGGGGCTCCTTGACGCCTTTGTTGTTACGGTACACAAGCTGGGACAACTGAGGAACATAGTGCCCTGCAGCATTTAAATTGTTATTTATAGCCTAGTCCATAAACAATTAAGCAGAAAAAAACTGAGTAAAAAAAAAAAACAGAGTAATGAAATGCCTGCGTAGCTCTCCCCGGCGATGTAGAAATCTCGGTATTTATACTGCGGGAACTTCTCGAACCATTTCACCAGAAACTTATAGGAATCATGAGCTGCAAAAATTTTTAAAATAATATATAAAATCCAATAACTTTTGAGTGATTTCATAAACAGAATTGATTACTAGTTTATTGTTTTGCAATTCACCAGTTCTCTTGTCTCCGGAATCGTAGAGGTCGGAGGTGGTGTTGGTGTATGAGAATCCGACGCCGGCCGGCGAGTCCAAGAACAAGATGTTCGCCACTGGCAGCCATTGAAACAAATTTCACAAATTATTTCATCTACATACCATACAAGAAATGATTTCATCTCCTGAATTCTGAACAACTCTGAATACATATATTTGCTGACCTTTGTTCCACCGGTAGTCGTTGAGGAAGAGGGTGGCGCCGTCGGGGCGGATGCGGAAGGCGCCGAGCTCCTCCGACGCGCCGTACGCGACGGAGGAGCAGCCGGGCCCGCCGTTCAGCCACAGCACGAGCGGCGCCGGCTGCGCCGCCGCCGGCGCCTCCTGCAGCCAGTAGAACAGCGACCGCCCCGCCCGCTTGTCCACCGTGACGTAGCCGGAGTACATGTCGAAGTCCACCGGCGGCTGCCCGGGCAGATATGTAACCCGTTCACCGGCAAGGCCACTCGCCGCCGCCGCCGCCGCCGACGACGACCGGAGCCCGCAAGCCAAGCCGAGCAAGACAACGAGTTGAGCTACTAGTGGCAGAGGAAGACGACGACTGGCCATTCTTGGGAGCTCCATTGGTAGCAAAATTCTGGTGCACTACAGTTTGTGCGTAGAATTTGATATAGTAGAGATGTTGAGAACGAAGAGTATAAATAGCGGAGGTTTTTTTTTTTTTTTGCGGGGATAAACGGAGGAGTTTGATGTCATTTTTGGTTTGGATTACACGCTTTCCTGATGTAACCTCTTTCTTTTCCACCAAATTTCGGTTTGTTCGGCAAATCTGACCACGAAAGATGAGACCAAACCCCGTCAAGATTGTGACAATTATCAGGTCAGTTACTGCATGGACAGAGGAGAACCAAACGAGAGGAGAAGAAACCGTGCAGATTTCTTGGACGTCATCCTTGCCAGGCCGGCAGGTTTCTGTACAAACCTGGAGCTCTTCTCGAGATACTTTATCTAGAGCTATATGATAAATCTTGGCACTTTATTATTATGATTTTTTTAATCAAGACAAGATATATCTGACCTTAGTTAATACATCAGGGAAAAAGAGGAAATGGTTATTGCACATAATTGTCCTTTTTAAACTTATTTGGTGTGCAAGCAAGAAATAAGGCTTTACCAAATTGGCAGCATCCTAACACATTAAAATGGGTCAATCTACTGTGGCGTACCAAATAAATTCTGTAAATCAGAAAAGTATAGAAATATATCGGGACGAATAAGCTATGGTATTTTGAATCTAAATATAAAAATAAAAAGATAAAACAGAAAACGATGTTCTATATGTGAATTATTATGTTAAGTTAAATCTCTAAATTCAAATTAAAGGGCATATGATTGATACACCTAACACGTCGTATATCTTATAGAATGCCCTAGAATGACATTAGAGTAATTTATTTTAATCATCATGTATTTGAGTACTGAGCATATCCGCGAGTAAAATTTATTTTCATCTATGGTGTGTAATGTATCACAACTCGTTGATGCGCGTGGTCTAGCGCCACCAATTAATTTATTGCCTAAAAATGTCAAATCCATCATAACAAATCAAATTGAGAATTTGCTGGTGAGATGTGATATTATAATTTAGGCAAATTTTACTGCAAAACGTCCAAAATTTATATAATTTGCTACTAATAGACATCGAAAAACGTGCCACAGCTGAGAGGCATTAAAAAACTGATAATTTGCTAAATTTGGCTCAATAGGAGAAATATTTTTTTTAAAAAAAAGACAAGAATGCCCCTAAGATCACATGCTTCAAATATAGCTTTAGAATGAAAATTCAAAAATTATGCAACTCTAAATTTGACATTAGCCCAAGTATATCACCAGCATACATCGTATTCCATCTTTACTTCAACCTTAGCTCAAAGGCCTTTGACACTATGGACATTCAGTCTTTTTGAAGAGTTTCTTTATCCAATTGAGCCGAAAGTGTTCTCTATGAAATTATCCTTTTTTTAAGGGTGTCTTTCAATCATGACACATTTTTGCGATGTCTACCAGGAAATTACACAAATGTTGAGTATCATATAGCAAATTTTGCCTATAATTTAAACTTTTTGTGACGTAGATATAGAAGCAACCAAAAATGTTAATACCTACAGTTATACTACCTCCGTTCCAAAAAAAAGACAAACCCTGGGTTTCCATGTCCAACGTTTGACCGTCCGTCTTATTTAAAAAAATTATGGAAAAATTAAAAAAACAAAGTCACGCATAAAGTATTAATCATGTTTTATCATCTCACAACAATGAAAATACTAATTTAAAAAAAATTCATATAAGACGAACAGTCAAACGTCGTTGAACATGGAAACACAGGGTTTGTCTTTTTTTTGGACGGAGGGAGTACATCTTAATACTGTAGGTGAACCTATTTCACCAATTACTTGCCTTACATGGCAAATAGGTGAAATGAAATAATCTTTATTATAAGAATATTGCCTCCAATATTTCAGGGGTGTTCAGATGAGGCTAAAACTTTTTAGCCCATGTCACATCGGATGTTTGGACGCCAATTTAGAGTATTAAACATAGACTAATAAAAACTAATTTTATAAATGAGAGCTAATCTGCTAGACGAATTTTTTAAGCCTAATTAATCCATAATTATGAAAAGTTTACTGTAGCATCACATTGTTAAATCATGGCGTAATTAGACTCAAAAGATTCATCTCGCGAATTAGTCTAAGGTTATGGAATAGGTTTTGGAATTAGTGTATATTTAATACTCTAAATTAGTGTCCAAACATCCAATGTACAGAGACTTGGATTAAGTCCTTGTTTCCCAAACAGGCCCGAAGATAAGCAGGAAAGAAAGCTGTTTGATCCATATCAAAACGATGTGTACACAAACTTGGAATACCGTAATAAAAAAATCATAAACCTTGGAGTTGGGTCTGCTAAGTAATCATAAGCAGATCCGTTTGCAATTGCGATTGATCTTTGTAATCAGATAGATCACGCACAGCGGCAGCTGACTTGGTGCCAGTGCTTCTTCAGAGAGATTGTTTGGAGCCTGGATGTGGTGGAGTGGTATTTTTTCTTTTTTTTTCCTGATTATGACATTCTTCGGTTGTAATCTTGTTTTTTTTTCTGCTATATCAATATGAATCTTCGCATTATCTTATGCGGATCATTCGAAAAAAGTAATCTGATAGACTGATATGCTGCAACAACTTTTTATATTTTGGTGTTTGGTAAACGTAATTTATGTTGCAACTGATAATACAAAGTAGTTGTGTTCTAAAATCATAAAATAAACAAATGGGAGTGACCTAAAAGCTGGATAACATTGTTTACGGTCATAATTAAAATTGTAAAACAAACTGAAAAAAATTATAGTCCAATTTTGGATGATAACTACTCCCTCCGGGCTGATAATACATGTCGTTTTAGACAAAGATGATGTCAAACTTTAGAATAATTGATTATGAATTACTTTTAAAATATTTGTCTTTCAAATATGGTGACTACATGTATATATTAGTCTTAAAAAGTACTTTAACAAAATCATATATATTTGTTAACACTTTTATACATATTATAATGGAAAATAATGGTCAAAGTTATTTTTTTAGAGACACTGCCCTTGTGTAAAAGGATAAGTATTATCAATCCGGAGAGAGTAGTATGGTTCTCAAAGTTTTACTAGGGGATCAATTTAGTCCTTGATGTTTCATTATATCTAATCGAGTCCCAAAAATTTTGGATCTGACATAGTATATTTCTTAAACCTACCGAAAATCACAAGCAAGATGAATGTTTAAATATCCATTTTACCCTCACATATGAGGGATGAATGTTTAAATGTCCATTCTACCCTCGCATTTGAGGAATTTTACGATCCTTGAAAAAATACCTTGAGAGTACCTTGAGCACTTAGTACTTTTAGGTACCAAATTTTACACTAGAAATTTAGATACATTTTTAAGTAAATAGTCTAAATTCTCATTTTAAATTAAGGATGATAAAATTACCCCTCACATATATACCATAGAAAAAGAAGGGAAAAAATAAAAGAAAACATTAACGGAAAGTATTTCCAGCCTTATTAGCATCCCTTCCTACGCACATATCATTTTTTTTCTATGTCTGGTAGAAGGGGCATTTAAACGTGATCCTGCATGCAAGAATGACGGGCATGTCCACCTTCCTTTTTTCGAAGACTATATGTTAAGCTGCATGATAAATTTCAAGCACTTGTTTAAATAATTTGAAATATCTAATACTAAATTAATCTGGAGCAAAACTTAAAGGATTATATTGGCTATTGACCCAAAAAAATTAATTTCCATAGCAACATAAAAACATAGGTATACAACACAGCACAAACAATCACAAACACAGTTTTAGTCTGCTCTTTTTGAGTATATCTTTCTTAAGTCTTAGAGGATCTACAGGTAGAATAAGTTCTTTGTCTGTGGTCCGTTTCATGGACTCGAATTAGAATAGGGTCCTGTCATCCTGCATCTGTAGCGTTAGCACTACACAATCAAAATTCTGGGAAGACGGCAACGTGACAAGGCAGCTGGACGATAGACAAATGCAAATACTCTCTGACCACTTTTCCGCCATGGCACGGTGCTTAGTTGCATTGGTTTTTCCAAGTTGTCTCTATCGATGATTAGATTTTCCTTCAAACGTTTCATGCTTGTTGATTCCCCTATCATTTCAAACTTTTCAAACCGTACTATATCGACATGTAGGCACCTCAAGAAATATTGAAGCGTACATTCTGCTAGTCATAATTGAAAGTACATTTCAGAAAACCTGATGTATACGACCAATTGTAACATCGACTTAAACATTTAATACAGAATAGCATGGAGATTTCAAGCAAAATTTTCAACTCTTCGAAGTTCTACGCTATATGCACTGTTGTTTTTAAAAAATATCTACGATATATATGTATCATTTATCTGTAATATAATAGAATGATAAACAATATGCACCCAAGAATTGAATCCGATACTTCAAATTATTTTCCCTAATTCTATATCTATTGAATTGGATCTCATATGTGCCTTCTTGAGACTGGAATTACAAATCAGTACAGTTAAAAGACACAAATATTAGGGTAGGACCTAATATTAAATATTAATTAGAAGGGGTGAGGCTTCGAAACCAGATCGTCTAGCCCACCACCTTATGGAGCTAGCCGAAAAACCCCTAGGCGTTTCTCATAAATCAGTACAATTTTAAGAGTTATCTCTCTATATCTGTGTGGGGTGGGGCAGGGACAAAAGTTGTATCACTACGAGTCTCTGCATCAATTAAAAATGCACAAAATGAACCCTACCGGATGAAATTATTCTGACAACTCAATAATTATTCTTCCCCAAGAGTTCTCTCTTGTCTCTCTTAGTTCACCTTTTTGTTTTCTAGTTGAATTCAGCATTTACTATACATGGACAGCATCCTTGCTCTGCATAGAAGAGGCGCGATGTAGAGTTTTACGTTTAGTTGCACTAGAATTATGGTAATTCAGGTCTCTTAGAATGACAACCTCAAAAGAAGCCAATTATCCGGCTGCTTCTTGCCATGACGATGTTCCAACCTCAAGTAGTTCACTCATTAGGTCAATAAAGGTTTAAATAAAAACTTTTCTTCTGTCTGCAGGCAACATCGCAACACCGCAAACATACAAGAGACATCTAAAAAGGCACTCCGCACTTTGATGCTGTTGGTCGCTTCGCCTGGCAGATATGGAACGAAAGGAATCGCAGAACCTTCCAACAGAAGGAGTTTTCAGCTACCTCCCTGCTAGCCAAGATCAAGGAAGAGGCAACGAACGGGTCGTAAAAGAGTACATTGGCGATGTTTGACTAGACAATCAACTCTAAAATCTACTGAGGTCTAATTTTAAAGTTCTAAAAAGAATGAATAGAAGTAGTGGTAGATCGAGTAAGCAAATAAAGGGATGATAGATGAGTGAGGTGTAGCGACTGGCGTGACTTTTAAAAACTATAAAATTAGAAACACAAGAATAATAATTTAAAATAAAATCATATGTAAAAAATAGATAATTTTATACTGGTGCTAGCCCCGCAATTGCGCGGGCCACCCAACTAGTTCCAATTAATGCACATATGTGTACCAAAGTGGGTACCGATAGGTACCCTTTGGAAAATCTAGGATAAAAAATCTGAATTACGATCAGGACGATCAAACCTAGTGCATACAGCAAGTCATACGAGCACTGCTAGGTTGTCCAGGTACAACACGCACAAGACAGCGCGATGTTTTGTATTGATAGAACATGAAAAACTTGCAACCCTACAGCCCTGAAGGCTATAGTCAGGAAAAGAAAAAAAATAGCATCCACGCCATGCATCTACGACCAAAACCTCCATTGGAGAACACACAAAACACGACAATCAGATGGAGATGAACTTCTAAACGATGCCTCCAACAAGGATGCAACACTGAGTGCCACTGCCGCTCGTCCTGAGAAGCCATGACATGGTTTTCACCTGAAGAACTCCTTCGGAGAGAGCAGGAAAGTTCACGCAAACAACGCCCCAAGGTGAAAACGGTGTCCGCGGGCGTCGCCTTTGCTGGCCTGAGGGCTGGGCTTTCACCCTTAATCTTGTCGCCCTCCTGCGTCGAGGTTGGCTGCAAATCAGTGGCCACCACCAACTGCACACCTTCGATGAGTGGCCACCGCGCCAGCGCTTCGTCGCCGGCAGGCCATCAAGCAAGAGCTCAACATCTGGCCGTGCTCCCAATCCTTCCACGCAGTTGGGTTGCCGAGGGAGAGGGCGAGAGAGAAGAATAGATCCCCTCTCCCCCACACTAGCCCACCCAACGTGGCCATCTTGTGGTGGCCAGGCGTCGCCACAAGAGGATTGTTGTCTAGATTATTGGAGCTCGTCGCAGGCCTGCAACACCCACTCACAGCTCCACCATCATTGTCGCCTCGACGGATGGCCCACATCACCACCACCTCAGGTCCGTCCGCATCGCCGTTGCTAATCCCAAAGCCCCCTGCCGCCATCGCATCACTGCCGGCCACCGGCTACCACTCACCAGGCCACATCGACCCACTACCACCGACAGTCGCATGTCCGTTGTGTGTCGGCCACCAGCCACGCGTCGCAGCGCCAGCCTCCCACCGTTGCCAGCCGCCCACCGTCGCTGTCATCAGTCACGCCTCTCCGCGCCACGCGGCCTCCCAGCGTCGCCGACCACGCCTCTCCACGTCCCACAACCTCCCGCCATCACTAGCCGCACGGCACGGTGCCGGATGTCCTCCCACCGCCGCTGGTCGCTGCTCCACACAGCGCTGAGCCACTCCTGGTCCCATCGCCGGTGGCTCGACGGCTGCCAGATCCCATCACGTGGGGTCAGATCCGGTTGTGCCGTCGCCAGATTCGCGGCTACCCACACCGGGGCACGCCGCCGCTGCATCAGCTTTGCTCCGTCTCCCCCGCGCTTGAGGCCGAGTGTCGCCGAGGTTATGGCCCCGCCACCGCCTTCCTAGCATGCCGCTCGGCTTTCCAGCGGCAGTGCGGCGGAGAAGAATGGGGAGGGTGGTGACTAGTGTTTCTCCCTAAGTCGCCCACGCGTGGGCAACGCGAGGAGCGAGCGCGTGAATAGTTATTTGTGAGTTCATATCATGTAATATATCTGATTAGAAAAAATACCCGTGTGTAGCAATGGGTAAAAGTTGTTTTAATCTTATTATTGTTATACGTTTTAGTTAAAGTGAAATTTACTGTAAGAATTAGCTTGGATATATATTTTTCTAGAAAATGATGAGCTACGATTAAGACTCCGATCATGCGAGTTTTTTTAAAGTGATTTCTTATTCGACTCCTTCTATGTTTCCAAAAGCGAACGAAGCTAAAACCCGACTCACACATGGATGTCATACCAAAATACCGGCAAAAACATCATCAATTTTATAATAGAAGAGATAATGGTAGTAAACCATTAACCTCCACCAACTAAAGGCTGCACACTGCCATTTGCTAAACTTTTATCACGAAAAGAAGATCAAAACAAAATTAAAAATTGAATGGTGAATAAAACAAGGTAGTCCTGCCAAGGATTATTTCGACATTTTCACACGAATAGAATAATTCTGCAGCAAAGAGTTGTTAAATTTGCAACCAAAAAAAAGAAAGAGAAAAAAGAAAAAAAAAGAGAGAGTTGTCGAATTTGCATTCTTAATACAACAGCATTAGCTGAAGGGCACAGGCACAGCTGTACATGCCTTTTAAATTACAACCTTTAATAATGATTGTTAATCAATCATGTGCAATCTTATATAGAGAGATGAAAACAGTCAGAAATTATTAGAAACGGTTTTTTTTATGAGAACGGTCGAAAATGATTGAGAAATTTCCATATTTATGAAAATTTCAATGCGATGCTGACAAGAATTAAAAAAACTAAATTTTAAAAAAGATAACAGTCGATAAAGATATCATTTTTATTATATTAGTTTTACAAAAAGGGGAAATTATCGTTCCGTTTTCAGCCCTTGTGAGTTGTGACATTTCTTTCTCCCGTTTTCGCTGCTTCCTCTGTTTTTCTCCACTTCCCCTGCTTTTGCTCTGTTTTTGTTGAGCAGGAGCTGGTCGTCTACCCTAAAAAGTGTTTTTCTTTAAAAAAAAAAGGGTACGAAGAGACCTGCAACGCAAATCTGTTCATCTTCTCTAATCTGCCATTTCGGTCTTGTTATTGTGAGCTGTCTGCTGGTCTTCGACGCAAAATCGAGTATATCTGACAATGTTATACTCCCTCCGTTCAATAGACGACGCCGTTGACTTTTTCTTACATGTTTGACCATTCGTCTTATTCAAAAATTTTATGCAAATGTATAAGATATAAATCACACTTAAAGTACTATAAATGATAAAACAACTCATAACAAAATAAATTATAATTACGTAAATTTTTTGAATAAGACGAAGGGTCAAACATGTGAGAAAAAGTCAACGGCGTCATCTATTAAAAAACAGAAGTAGTATTTACTTTGGATCTGGCCCCTTTGGATCAAACTGATATGCTAACTGGGTCTTTTGTCTGAGGAAGTGTTTCATTGCCTCATATACTCAACAGAGATGCCGCTTGGCCTATAGAACCTAAGCTCAAGAAAAGAGGTAGCTCATACATCAATCAATATAAATTGAACTTATGGTTCTGCGTTACAGATACCGAGATACGCAAAACCTAGGATATCTGAAATTTACCCTCTTTCTAGTTTACCATAAGCAAAAAAGGATTAATTAGTCACTACTAGTAATTAGCCCGTGCTAACGCTACGGTGATATTTAATAACGTAATCAAACAAAAAAATACAAATATGTTTTGTGATAAGACTACAATGCACAATATAGTTTTAAAATCATGCAAGAAAATGAGAGCACTGAGAGCTGTATAAACATTTATCAGCCTTTTGTATATACATTATAAATGGGTCCAAAATAGACGTGTCCGACAATATATAATAAATACCCTACAGATAATTACTTATCACCATCTTTGACCAGTAGTGAAACTCATACTGTTTGATATAGATCAATTCAATAATAACCATCATACACCATCATACTTCGAGCATCATCAATTCATTCGAGCAGACATGGTCAGTGCAAGGCTAGTTTACTCAAGACATGTTGATATCTAAAATGAGTTTGCACAGCCTCAGAAATATAGGAGAAAACATATTCACAAATCTTAAAGTACAAAGAAGGTAAATGGAATTTAATGGTTTTATAAAAATAATCTGATATATACAACAGTGTGAGGATGGCATCCAAGCAAGTGATGTCTAAATGCTACAAACAGGTTGGTGCAGTGGTGCAAAAGCTGCTGCAGCTTAAAACTTGAAGCACTTGATGTTTCACACATTGGCTCTAGAAACTCTCTGGCTTGTCATCGTCTACTGAGATTGAAGAGTAGAATCACAACATTGAAGTATTACGCTTCGAAGGAAGTGAAAAAAAAATGTTTGCTCAAAGTTTTTCCATATCAATGCATACCCAGTATACTTACTTACCAACAAAGATTGTTTATTCTTTGAGTTCGCATTGACGAACAGATCCTTATGAAATAATGAATAAATCGTACGGGCAAAATATATAAAAGATACAGAAAAATGTTCGTTAGAAGTTTCATGAAAAACAATTATTGATACGTTCATATTACACACCATAATTTTATAATTTCATATAGGCTCCTAAAACACAATTTAGATATCAAATTAATAAAACAGAGAGAACTTGCAAAAAACAAGTAGAGTTTTCATCAAAGAAAATAATGAGGTCAGTGATTAGGAATAGAGGAGAAAACCATGCTGAAAATGTGAATGTAAGTTGTGATCACGACCAACCTTGAGTAGGCTGAGCTGTTACAGACCCATGGAAGATGTGCTTCAACAGGGAAGACCATGTAGTTATGTGTTTTCTGTTCAATTTACTGAATCCCAATTTCAGTGAGTAAAATCCATCAGATAAGCAAGACAACAGGAAAAGGCTACAGAAAACAAGAAAATTTCTGAACCACGCACCTCTTGTCAACAAGATCAGTTTTGTTCCCAAGCAGAACAATGATAGAAATCCCTTGCCCCTCTCAGTTCTAATTTTCCCTATCATTTTGAAGTGTCCAGGAAATACTGCCTGCATACAACATGTAAAATAAATTTAAAGGGGGCATGACATCTGATGGCATCGATCATAGAAATATCCCATAACAGATTCCGTTAAAAGATTCATTTATTTATATTATAGTTATGGATATCATATTGTGAACATCTGAACCCGAAACAATTTAATGTGGTTCCAGTCATTCAAAAGTGCATATATAAGGGACAGGTATTTACAAATCAATCAGTACTGAAGAGTGTAACGGATTAAACAACCCATGCAATTTACTCTCAAAATGAGCTATATAATATATATTTATCTGGTGCTCATTAAGGCTATTCCCATAGGATGACTATTTTAATCAGGCATGTTTTGTCTGACAGTTTCTCAAAGTTGAGAACAATAAAACATCTCTCACCCGCTTTCTTCTTGATCACCTTTTTCCCTCTAATGGACCAAAGCTGTAAATTGCCCTTGTTCTGCACATGTGAAAAACACTTAGCAATTCATGCACATGCAAATCCATACGAATGCGAGTATCAAACAGAACATGTTAGCAGGGTATTTATTATAGAAACTAAATACAGAAACTATGAACTCATTCTGAGGTGATAACTTGTGTTTCTCTATAAGTCTTGAAACACATTTCTGAATATAATTGAAGATGACAATGGTTTATGAGTAAATATACTCTATCCAAGTGAATTAAATTAATATCCATTTAAATTAAACTAATCTTTTTTCTACAACCAGAGGAGCAGCACAATCTGAAGTTACATTCGTTGAATCCTCTCAGAAATCTAGGCATCAAACAAGAGTACTATGCAGACTGGCAGAGGGAGATAACAAAGCTGTATGACAACTTTATGAACTCATTATGCTACCCCCTCACAAAAAACTTTTCAGTTCACTACTTCAGATTGCAGGACACTAACAAAACCATATTTGTCTTGCAAGAATTTTAAGGATGACAAACTGGTCAGATTTGTGAACAATTCTGCATTATTGTCAATGATACTTTTAAGGGCGATGCTTAGTCGCTACATTACCAATTGTAAAGTTAAATTCAGATCAAATATCATTAGGATAACTTCAAATAAGATTTATCTGAAACAATGTAAAACAATATGATTTGTTCAGTTTAATAGGCTAACTGTTTTCCCTCACGGTTTTAATATGAAGAGCGATAGTTGAATAGTAATGACCGTTTGAAAATATAGGAGATATACTGAATAAAATCATAAACATGTTTGGCAGTAACACGTGTATAATTTGCTGATATGTTCAAAAATAAATTAATCAGAGACATGAGATCTAACAAGAAGCTACAGTCTACAAACAGTAAAACCAGGTTATGTCGGGAAAGTGAACATTAGGGGTTATTTTACCTAGAAAGAATATATATAGAGGTGCTGCACAAAGAACACCCAGGATGGCTGTAGCCTGCAAGAAGATGGGATCAAGCAAATAAATTAGACATAAATGTTTTAAATTCAAAATATCGTGATTAACAGAGAGAGATGGGATCTTGCCTTGACCAGCTGCGCGATTCCCTCCTTGCCTGCATCCGCCGCACACACCGTTCCGTCATGGTCCACGGGTATACCTCCTCATTACAGCCCCGCCCTTGGATATCGAGCTCACACCGTTCGCGGTCATCCTCCCTGGTGCACTGTACATTGTCTATATTGTACAATAATAAATCAAAATGTACAAATGATTAAGTAGTGGATGCACATTATTGGATGAATGGAATAGTACAGTAAACTTTATAATAATAGCCACATGTTTGAGCGTCAGATTAATTATAGCCACATGTTTGCAACGCACTTGGATGCCTTCTCAAATTCTGAGATAAAACTACCAGGTAATAAATTATTCTAAATCCAAACAGAGTATAAATTATTCTGAATCATCTTAAGTAATGTTGACTGAATTTAAAATCTGTTACAAATGAGATCCTTCAAGGTTAAAAGAACAGGAACCCTACACTGATACTCACAAATAGAGTTCGGTTCTTCAGTAATTTATCTCCAAGATTTCAGTCTCCATGTATTTCCCAATATTGTAGCAGCAGAAACACTCTGTAATAATGCTGTGAAAAGAAACCCTTTTATTTAGTATATAGAGCATAAACTATGTATAGTGTGAAATTGGATCTTTGCTTTATAGTTACCCCATCTTTTATATATGCTACTCCTTTTCTTACTGAAGCCTCAAACTTCAAACTTCGAGTGATTTTAACTCATCACTGACACTTGATGCAAAGGATAAAAAACAATGCTATAAAAATCAAATGATATAATTCATAATTTAGATGGAAATTTGCGAAGTAACTGCAACCGATGTACTCGAAAGGACTCAAAACTAACATAGGAAGGAAATACCTGATGAAATTTCCTCGTTGTTCATAGGTAGAATGAATGTGGCTTACCTGAGGGAAGCAATAGAGAGCCGAGGTGCTTGCTGTGAGAACTGACCTCCAATCAAATGCTCTTGAAGACGACCTCGCTGACGTTGCTGCCGATGGCGCCATGGCGGAGGGCGGAGTCTTCTCCCTGGCGGCGGTGGCGGAGAAAGCGAAGAAGAACGGCGGTGTGGAACCGGCGCTTCGTGGTCTTGAGGAGGAGAGGCGACCGGCGATGCAGCTCCTTTTCTTCAGCGCGGCAGCGAGGGAGGAGATCGGTGCGAGGAGGCGAGGGAGGAGATCGGCGCGCGGAGGATGCAGACCGACGGCGCGGAGGCAAGGGAAGAGATCGGCGAGGGCGGCGCGGGATGGGGGTGCAACGGCGGCGCGGGATGGCGGAGGCGGCGGAGCGAATCGGCGAGGGGCGGCGGTGCGGTGTTGGGAGAGTAGGGTTGCGTGATGTGCGGCGAAACGGATGCCGTGACAGGCAGCACGCGCACGTGGAAAAGGGGACGCGGAAGAGAGGTGGACCTGATTTCGATCGTTCGATCGGGGCAGAGAAATATGAGCCTTCGGATTTGATGAATGAGTAATGTAGGTGTAAGAATAAGTTGGTGAATTATAGGGTAGATGTATTTCTCGCACATTATTTATACGTATCCAATTTCTTTCCTTGTTTTGGCACTTGGCCTAACCGTGAAATTTTCCAAGGGATTGATTGACCAATTCCGTGTAGAGAATCATACTCTTAGGGGGTGTTTGGGAACTAGGGACTAAATCTAGTCCCTCTTACAAAAACATAAGTCCCTACCATAGTCCCTAACTTATGTTTTTGTGAGAGGGGCTAAAGTTTAGCCCCACTTTAGTCCCTCCAACCAAACACCACCTTATTTGTATTTTAATACTAGAAACAGGTGTAAGTTTGCACAAAGCACAACAACCGCATCGCACCAGATTGAAACGGTTCTGATTTGAAATGGATGTAGTAGCTTAAGACAGTAACGATATAAACAAAATGCCTAGCCTTCGCAACACACAGAAAAACTTGACCAAAGTACATAGAACTTCAGTTAGCAAACAATTTCAGGTCAAATTTAGTCTTCATTTCGTTCAACAAAGAGGTGTTCAAACGATACATATGACGCTAAAAGGTTCAAACGATACATAAGTTTAGCTGAACTGATAAGGAAATGCAACAGAGCTGCAACACACTGCATATGAGATTTAAAAGAGATTAGGACCGCACATGATCAGTAGAGATACTTTTCAACTCATCAATGATAAAACCGATGACATGAACTCAATTTTCATTTTATCACGTCTTCGATTTCCTTCTCCTGCCCTTCCCAGACTTTTGGGGCTTGTCACTGCTTCCTGCCTCCTGAGGATCACTGTTGCTTGCTTCTTTCCTTAAACCTGTTCAAATATATGCTAGAAATGTTACCATGTTTTTTTATATATATAAAAGAGCAAATCCTTCAAGCAGATTAACAAAATCAAGAGAGAGCTATTACATGACGGATAGGGAGACACCAAGTGCGGTAAAGGGGGCACCACGCAAGCAATTGGAGGAGAAGATCCAACCTCCCTCCCAGCATTAGTCTGTGCTGTACAATTAAGAATTTGCTTTGTCTTCAGATCGATGTTGAAGAGGCAGTCCTGAGAAATCACGTACACACTGTGCTCATTCAATGGGTCAACCAAGCCAACTAATGGAACCTCATCCTCATCCAGCGAATAATCATCATAGCTTTCATCTTCCCACAGATCTTCGAAATCCACTTTGTATTCCAACACCCACTCACCACTGTTCCCACCTAGTGCCCACAAGCTCATTGACCCAGATTCTCCATCATCCTCATCAATGTCAAAGAAGCACAACCGCCCAGCAGAGACACCAACATACCTCATGTGGATCCATTCATCCAGGCCACGGGTGGGTCTTCCACTGGCCTCTGGCAGGTTGATAAAAAGTACAGTTGGTTCTGATGCAAATGGGTCACAGGAGAGTATGCCACAGTTGAGATCAACCCAATGAAGCATCCCACCAGAGGAGAATACCATGTCACCCCTGGAGAATTGAGGGCATACGAGAGGCTTCTCCTCCCAACGGCCATTTACTGATGAGAAGGAACGTAGACAGGACATCATGAGTTCAGCAACCACATACTCACCATCCCGAGCAACAATGCCCAAGCTTTCAGCATTGCGGAGTTGGGGCTTCGGAACTGGTAGAAGGAAAGTATCTCCAGTGAATGGGTTGCAGACATAGTAGTTATTTTCATTGCCAGTGAGCAGGATGAGGCCACCACTGTAGCTGACAACCATGGGTAGCTGGTCATAGAAGGACTCTTTCCGGTGAATGGAACACATGCGAGAGGAGGTGATGATTGATGAGACTTTTGGTGGTTCAGAATTGCGAAGCAGTGCACGTATTGGGCCTCGGGGTGTGGGGGCAGTGTCAATAAAGATTGTTCGGTCCAGGAGGAACCAGTTTGAAGGGTTGGTGGTATGACGTTCAGCATAGGCAGAGAGGAAGGTGGACGATGTTGTCCGCTCTAGCCATAGTTTGCATACACAGCGTAGTTGGCAGAGGGACCAGGGTGGCAGCCGAAGGAGGACCTCGATGAGGATGTCAGTGTGGTCTCGAATGCCAGTGAAGAGGACTCGTGAAGCATCACCAGCACTGACAGGGAGTGGAGTTGTCATTGTGGACTGTTTCTGCTTACACCAATTCTGTTGCATCAAAAGGTGAATTAGAGTCAGTTATCAATCTTAATTCCACAATTTAAATTAAGCTTTGAAGAAGAAAAGCAACAATGACACAAGTAGTAATGTATGCATATCAGCTCAAATATAAACAAACTGGTAAAAGAATCATCATGGTAGCAACATAGTTACATAGCTTGTAACAACGTGATATAACACTAATCTCTCAGTCAGAGCAAAAGGAAATCGCAATAATCAGAATTCACAAGATCACTACCAAAAAACTTATCCAAGTAATCTCTTTCAACAAATCAACACACAAAAATACATATGTCGGAATATTTCCCATTCAATTAATGAGAGGCAGTGGAACTGATAGAAAACCAGCCAAACAAGAAAGAAAAAATATAATGGAATCAGAAGGCCTAGATGCACATGAAGTGAAGGGCAATACTAGTAAGTCCTAGTTCAGTTATGTGATATCTTGACAATTTTAATTGTCCAAACATGGGAATCATATTCTATGATCTGCTAGTGTTGTAGTCATTCCAATCAGCTTAATTCTCCATATTCCATCGCTTGATTCTCCACATGATCAGTGTCAGTGCAAATTCAGAACAGAACAGGATACAACTACTAGCGCTTGTATGATTGTATCTGTCAATCAGTGTATTCAGGTCTACAACAATAGAAATTCTTCTGAATTTATCTGAACGTGCAGTTGGCTGACAATAGAATTGGCAATATTCTATCTGAACGGCTGCTTGTTTGTTTAATAAAACCATAGTTTGAAAATTTCAGATAAAGGTTCAATGCACACTAGTCTGTACATCACTAAACAGGAAAAGGGATACTAGATAATTGGTCTCTACTTCTCAGGTCTGATATTTCACACACATAAAGGACAGGTTTCCAGATCTGATCATTTCACGTTTGAGCATTGCATAATAGCAACTAATCAACAGAAATATTCAATGAATCACACTGAAATCATGCAAATTTGAAGGGAAGAGGTGGGGGTGGAATTTTAGGGTTTTGGGGAGGGGAGCGGGGATACCGTGTGCTGTCGCTTGGGGTCTTCGTGCGGAGTCGTCAGCTACCTTGCGCGACGACGTGTGCCGACGCCCTCAGCCGCCGGTGCGTCTCCTTGCTCGCCCGCAGCCGCCTCCCTCAGTCCCCGTGTGCCGGCGGCGTTTGCTCGTAGGGATGGGGAAGGAGAAAGGAGGGGGGGGCGATACAGAAAGGGGAAACCGGTGCGCCGCCACCTGTTTCCCGCCGGTGCACCGCAGCCGCCGCCGCTGACGACGACGACGACCGCTTCCCCCTCCGTTGCGCACTAGGTCGCGCGGGGTGTCGGGGTGAAGCGGCGATGCGGGGGCGTCGGGGGATGATGGAGTGAAGCGGTACGGGAGACTGGGAGAGGGAGGGATTGAAGTGGTAGTGCGGTGGCATTTACGGGTAATTTGGTCGAAAATTTACGGGCACTTATCATAGTTCCATAGTAAGCTGACATGTATAGTCGAATCTTATATTGTTATTATATTTTTTTTTATGGAGAGAGGAGATTGTGTTAGAATTAATGAATAGGTCGTAGCCCATTCGAAGATTAATTTTTTGGACAAATCCACCTCCTCATAGGATGGATGCATGGGGAGTTCTAGAAGAGGGATATCTACTTATTAGCGAGGATGCTATCCTAGTCACTTGAGGCATATAAGGTGGAGAGAATAAGGGGAACACATGCGCGCTCGCCTCGCCTGACATGGCGGCGTGCGTATACGACGTGCGCGTCGAATGGTCTGCTAAAATTGGTTCCTCACCCTTGCGCACATGCGGTCTCCTTTTGCAGTTTTGTTTTGCTGTAGAAAATTCGATTTTGTTTTTGGAAACACACCGAATAATCCAATGCGTGGAACGGCGTGGAGTCCAGATAAGTTACGCGTGACTTACGCAGAGTGGAGATCATACAGGCGCACTGATCAAGCATTTTGATATCTCTATATAAATAAAGTCCCCTCCTCCACGCAACACATGCGGAATCAATCTAAGGCTTTGTGTCCTATTCTGTACTGCGTCATCGCTCGTAGTATACTTTATTCCGCTCACCGGCGTGCATCGGTGATCAGGAGAGGAGGTCTTGTAGCGCCCGTTCCGTCGTGGCGCCTAGCGGGAAAACTATCTCTTAAAAACTCTATTTACGAAATCTGTTTCTTTGCTTGTTGTCTAGTGTCCGTGCCATCTCAGATCTCAAATCCCCGATCTATCGTCGAGTTCAATCCCGAATCCAAATCCTTCCCAAATCAATTCCTCTGCAAAAGTCTATTTTGCCTCCCCCGGGTTCGATGGGCCGAATCTCTCTCGGCCCATCTCCCCCTCCCTCCCCGGCGCTCTCTCTCTCTCTCTCCCTCCCCCCTCCGCTCTGCTCGCGCGCCGCGCGCGCGTGCGCGAGAGCCGCGCCGAGCGCCCCTCCCTCGCTCTACCCGCGCGTGCGCGAGAGCCGCGTGGTCGCCGCCCGTGCCGCGCCTGCGCCGTCTGTGCCGCCCGGCCCCGCTGCCCTGCGCGCAGCCGCTCGGCCCCGCGAGCCAGCGCGCGTGCCCGAGCCGCGCCGCTCAAACCGCCGCGCTGCCCGTTGCTTCCCGCGCGCGCGTGCCGTGGTGGCCGACCGCCCGGTCGCCGCCGCCGTCAGCCTCTGCCGCGCCTGCCCGCGCCTGCCGCCCGTGTCGTTGCCCCGCTCCAAACCGCCCCGCCGTCATCGCCGTCGTCATCGCCCGGCCCCCGCCACTCCGCGCGCAAGCTGCCAAGGGACGGAGGCAGAGCTCCTCCTCCCTCTACCGCGTCGCCCCCGCTCCCTCCTCCTTTTCCCAAAGAGGCAAGGGACAATCCCCCTTTTCTCTCCCTCTTTTCCCCTTTTTCCTCCCGCCGGCGTCATCCTCCTCCCTCCTCCCTGTCGCCGCTTTGGCCGCGACCGCCGAGCGCTAGCCCTCTCCTTTGACCGCCTTAGGTCGGTTCCCAAACCGACATTGCCGCCCCTATAAACCCAAGCTTCCCCCTTTCCTTTCCTCTCCCATTCGCCTCCACGCCATTGCCGCCACCTCCCGTGCTCTGTCCGCCGTCGCCGCCCGAGCTCGGAAGCGCCTCTCGTCGCCGGCCTCCCTCGATGCATTTCCTCCTAATCCAACGCTAGCATCGGATTCCCGTAGCCGCGTAGATGCTCTCGCTGCCGGGAATCGGCCCCTCGTGACCTCGTCGCCGTTTCCCCCTTCTCCCGCCGCCGGTTGCCGCCGCCGCAATTCGCCGCCGTCAAGCTCCCTCCGGCGAATCCGAGCCGTTGGCTCGTCTCCCCTCGTCTCGTACAACCACCCGGTGTGCTCGCTTTCGCCTGTATCGCCGTGGTTCGCTCCGCTGCTCGCCGCTGTCGTCCGCCGTCCATTCCGACCGGCGTCGTCGTCTACCTCCCGCCGGCCCGCGTGGCAGCCACGTAGGCGCCACGTCGGCGCCAGCTCGGCCAAGACCGGGTCGAGCCGACCCCAGTCAGCCCCTCCCCGTGCGCGCGTTCCACCGCGAGCCGTGAGGCTGCGCGTGGGCCCGCCGCATCCGCGTCCACCGCGAACCGCGCGCGTGCACCGCGTCCCTCCCCCATCCTAGCGCCGCGCCGCGTGCTCCCTCCGCACGGTGAGCCGAGCCGCTGACAAGCGGGTCCCACTCGGGACCACGCGAGGTGAGCCCGGTCCACCGGCTCTCTCTCTCCTCCCCTCCCGCGCGCGCGTACCTTGGGCCGCCTTGGGCCGGCCGGCCCATTTAGCTCGGCCGAGCCGCCCCTTTTCTCTCGGGCCGCGCCCTAGCCGCCCGAGGAAAGTCTGATTTCCCTCCCTCTTTTCTTTTCTTTTCTTTTCTTTTCTTTTCTTTTCCAAAAAGGATTTAATTAAATCCTTTTCCTTTAGACCAAAAATCCAATAATCTTAGAAATTCAATATCTTCCCAACCGTAAATCCGTTTGACCCCGTACAACTTCCAAAATTCCTCAAATCTCGAGATCTATCTAATGGCACGCTTAGAGGTCATTAATAGGGCTTTATTTTCGCCGTTTGTTGAGTTGTCCCGTTTTGCGTATAGTTTCGGAGCCCAAAGACCCGCAGTGCGAGGATTTCGAGGATCAAGCTCCAGATCTCGAGTAAGGCAAGCCACCTTTGAACATCTTGAGCCTATATTTGAATTTAATTATGTTGCTTGAAAAATATTATGCATTGATAGGATCGCACTTAATCTGTTTGTCCCGTCTGCAAGGCAGATTGGCGGACCTACCTAGTTTGTTGCATTTGATCCTTCCCTTGTTAATTGTTATACCATGTTCCCTTGTAACCACCCAGTTGCGCCTCGGAAATCGTGCACTCTGCACGAGTATCGACGGCCGCCTTCAAATTTAAAATCTGAAAAACATCTTGGGTAAAACTTGGGTTTTACAAAAGACTTGGAAAACCCGACACCTGGGTCGGTGCTTGCGAACTAAATGAATTTCAAAAACCGCGGACCAGGGAACGTACCGGGTGTACGGTTTCCCGCTCTTGCACCTAAGGACCGTTTCCTTGGAATTTCATCCGAACATAAGACAAGTACGACCACATGGGTGGAATGGGACACCCCTGGCTGAGTAACTAGCTTATCAGGGGAGCCTTGATGCCAAGAGACATGTGGATTCGCTGGGGTGGTGTCAGGGAGGACCCCTGGGCTTCCTGGCACAGTATAGTCTGGGACCTAACCTGTTGTTGGTCTGGGACCCCTCTCGTCGGCATATGGTAAACCTGTGTCGGCTTTGGAAATGCCTTGTCATGAAAGCTTGGAGGTCTCCCGACGTGGCTGATCCCCACGGGCTGGGTGATTCGGGTTAGTAATGTCGTGTGGGTAAAGTGTACCCCCTCTGCAGAGGTTAACAAACTGTTCGAACAGCCGTGCCCACGGTCATGGGCGGATGTGAGGTGATTCCTAGCGTAGTTTTGTTTGACTACTGCCTTGTGAAATTGCTGTTGTGGAAAGGGGTTCGATGTTTGAAAAATATGCAGCTGATGGGATCAGCTAGGCCCGGGTGGCCGTTTGAAAGTTGTTGGCCCGGGTGGCCGTTTGAAAGTTGTTGGCCGAGTGCCAACCTTGAATCAATTCAAAAAGACTGATACATTGCACATACTCCGACCGGACGAGACGCACTGTCTCATCCGTATCGTTTGAGAAGCACTCACTTAGTTGTTTTCAGAAAAGAGTTCAAATAAAATCAATTGCAAAAACAACAGCCTTTCCTTGAAGCCTGCATTAAACACTTATTTCCCATGGCTTGCTGAGTACTCCCGTACTCACCCTTGCTCTATATAAATAATCCCCCCCCAGTTGCTGAAGAAGATGAAGCGGATCCTGCAGATGAGGAGTTCTTCCAGGAGCAAGCCGGCTACGATGAGTTTTAGGGTTTCGGCCTAGTTCCCAAGTCGCGCCTGTGTTGTTTGGTCCAAGTCCTGGCTTCCGCTTCCCTTTTGTAATGCAGTTGTGAGCTCGGGATCTGTCTGCAGCCCAACATGACTGTACCTCTACTCTATAATAAAGAAACCTCTGTTGCTGTGATAATCTGTCTTCCTGTGATACCAGCACTGTTTCCTGGGACTGGTATCGATTAACAGGTTAATTTGGAGCGTCACGGGCTAGTTCCGGTCGGTACTAGTTCGGGGCGTGGCAGGTCTCTAGAACCTTCATTTTCGACGTCTTACACGGGAGAAGACGGCAATAAGGTTTTTGGAAGCGCTTTGCACGACTGCTTGCTGTTCGTCACAACGGCTCGTCTAACTCTTTTCCCGGGTGTTGCGCGTCATCGTCAATGCCCGGTACAGCGAGTCCTTCCTGCTGTGCATTCAATATGTTTTGCATATTCAATATGTTCATGGTTTACTGTCTAGTTTACATATATAAATCGTATGATACGATTATGCTAGTTTACATCTACAATGCCATGATTTATTTATGGAATAAATTAAATAAATATGTGCTTATATATTCAACTGAGTGAATCTATGCCATTATATTATGTTATATAGTTTTGCATAGTGATATAGGTGCATTCCATTCATAAGTTTTGGTTGGATCTATATTGTTTCTGATTGGGTTCAACACTATTCAACTAAACTGACCTTAAGTACCATACATGGATGGTAGGTAGAAAGAAAATAGGAATGCAAAACGTGGTCAGCTGATAATGTAGCATTGATCTCTAAATTCAGAGAACGGACATAAAAGAATCACAAGATAATTAGAACGCGGAAGGTTAGCAGCTAAGAGTAATCTTCTCTCATTAAATCAGCCCATTAAGAAATGATATAGTTGCTACTCGAAATATGATATACTACAATACATCATCACTAGGGCTCAAAATCAAGAAATTTTTCCGGTCTTTTAGTTTCTTGCAATAAAACGTGCACATAACGACTCAACAAGTGATAGGGCAGAGGGAATGGGCACACAAAAGTTTAGCTGGAAGAATTTTGGTGGAAGGCCTGGAGGGCCATCCTAGGAGGTAAGAGGCTAGAGATCAGAGGAGCTAGGGATGCATGATCACCGATGCTAATCAGGGAGGCAACAATCACCTTCCGTTGTAGGGTTCTGTGGTTGTGTCATGTCTTCTAACCTATATTGGGTTTGCGAATGTGGGTTTCTCAGTATATCTGCCTATTCCCATGGAACATACATACTCATGTTTGTTTCCTTGGGTCAAGTGAAACAATGGTTTAATTTATAAATATGTCGGTTGGAGTAGTATGGTATCACCCAAGGTATTTTGTTTTTTCTGAAAGCTCAGACTATAGAGTACCAGTAGAACACAATTTTAGGTTCTTGTATTCTTAGAATTTCCCTTGTTATCGAATCAAACAATTTTCAAAAATAAAGATAACACAGAAATTTAGAGCACGCATCTAAACATCATGTGCCAAATCATGTGCCAAATGATACAACAAAAACCGAGTGCCCTTCCTATATCCCGGTTTGCATGGGTTGGCTGCTGTTGCGCACTATATTGGTCAACCTTCCCTATCTCATATCTTTCCAGTCAAGTCTGAGCTATGCATCCAGTTAAAACGTTGTTTCTCCTAATCATTTTGATCTGCTATCTGATTGCACAATTGTATTGGTAGCAATTAAATTTTTACAATAGGATCTCACATGATTGCTGAAAAAAAATATATGATTGAACCATTGAAATTTGATGACTTGTGAGAATGGAATGCTCACATTGAAATTCTCTTTGTTGTACATTTTGTGTTATGATTATATGAATTTTCTCGATGTTTTGGTCGTTGGGACTCAATGTTTTAATGCTTAGTCCATTTGCAGATGTGTCTATACCATCACGTTAGGTGCCCGATGGAACAAAAAGATTAGGCAGGTCTGCTCTTCTCTTCCGTAGTCCACATCGTTCGCGCATGAGCTCCAAGGGCTGCAACTTCTGCCGCTATGCTGCACGGAGTCTACAAAATGGATTTAACGGAACATCTATATATGTACATATCTACACGCGGTAGAAGAACAACTTTAGTTGAGATATTATTTGGCTATACGTCTCTTACACCAACCTTTTTAAAATCGTACAGTGTACAGCATGAAAATCAAGTTACTGAAACATTATTCACTAACATGGAAATATGCAAAAAAAAAGGAATAGAACACTGCTAAATCTTAATTAAAACATTTTTATATCAGACACAAAAATAGAACAATCGAGTTGTAACATCGAAACATCATAAAGACTTGCTAAAAATATCGAAATAACATCACGTGAAACATTTGCAAATGAACTAGTGACACATTAGAAAATATTTTTTTAATCATCCTGATAATACCTTGTGCAACATTAAAAAATATGCATCGCAGAAAAAACATAAATTATGCAACATATATAGTCGAATATATTCCGGCCAGTTGAAAGATTCATTTCTACGTACTGTATGTAACATCAAATATTAAAGGTCAAAATATATATGTTTTTCATCATAATATAATAATATGAGATATTTTTTAAAAGATTTAATTCCCATGAGACAACAACAATGGGATTGAATTGCATATTGGATAAGTAATTTGGAAGAAAACAATATTTGAAGATCAAATTTGAAGACTTCTCTCATGAATATATCTAAGATGAGAGGATTAATTTGCTCTGTTTATATCACCACACATTGTTATGTTTCATCCATACAAGTACATGCATATTTCTTTTGGTTGCATACATGCATGTATCAGCGTCCGATGCTTTGATGCCTCCCGTCGTGAAGCATTTTTAAAATTAGATGAATACCCCGCCGCGTTGCTGCGGGAAATTAAATTGTATAGTATGTACAAATAAGCTATATTATATTTTGTAAACCAAAATAAAATGAGTTCCGATGTTTTATATAGTTAACACATGATTGCAAATATAATGCAAGGTGAAAATATTTTATGTAATTGATACTTATGAATTTTAAATAAAAAACAATTGAGATTGTAGGGTTTTATGAGAGAAGAAGAGGAGACTATTTGCACCCTAGATTTATCATCCAAAGGCTAAAAAAAATTACGATGATGTGGTTTCATGAGAGAAGAGAGAAATAGCATTAACTACACTCAGTCCACTTAGTGGGGATGAACTATATAAGTATGTAGGATTTGGATTCTCGTAATACTAATTGGAATTTACATTGTTATTAATATAAATCAGGGGATTTTTCAAAATAAAAATAAACAAAATCACTCTATGCTGATTCTGGCTTATTAATTAACCAGTGTTTCTCCACCGTTGCATAATTGTCACTCTGTTAATCTTTACACACACGAAGATACTATTGATCCTGTGAACGCATCCAAGGGCACCATCACTGACGACGATGCGCACGGCAATGGATCGTCGTCGCCGTGGGGGAGCAGGTCGCTTGTTCTGATGGCCGTGCACACCACGACGGCGACGGTGACGACGACGGAGAGCGCCGACAGCACGAGCACGAGCACGACGGCGGCGTGGTCCTCGACCTCCCTCGCGTACTCCACGGACGCGACGGCGAGCGCGGTGAGCGGGAACGGGAATGCCCACCACGCCACGCTGAAACGGCGCATGGCTCTCCTGAACAAGGTTGGCCTCGACACCTACGGGACCAAGCAGATGATTTGTGAGCGACAAAAAAATATGTGTAGGAGAATAAATTACAATGTGATGCTGATGCAAACTGAGTTATTTTGTCCTGAATTTCTACTGCAACAATTTCTTTAGCAGTGTTGAATAGGCATACGAAACACTTTATATTTTATTTGAAAAAAAAATGGAAGGATTATATACATCTATCCTGAATTTCCAACTGTTTATTTGTCACTGAAAAATTCACACCATCCTACGAATTTTAACATTATATTGGTGTCTCAAGGGCATGTGGACGAGCATGCATGTAGGTGAGACAATGACTGCCAATTAAGGTATTTGGTGAAATTGTAGTGGCGTGCCGTGCAATTGGTTTATCTACAAAGTGGATAAATTGTTGTTTTAAACAATTGTGTTAATATATAATCAAGTTATCCCTCCCTTACTTAGTAGTTAGTACCTGATAATTAACGTAAAATTAAAACTGAAAACTGCAATCTTAAAAGCTGTAGTAATAAACATGCCAAAATGTGCATAGCAAGCATATTTTACCATGCACCTCAGACCTATCTAGGTTGAGAACTTGAGATGTCAAATTCAAGTCCCTGTGCACAGTCAAAAACACAGGTAAGTATATATACGAAAATAAAGCATCAGTTCTTTTCACATAACATCATAATTAGAAGTATCATAACAGACAAGAATTGAGCAATTTATTTTCCTGTCATGGAAATTTGATTGCAACAGCAACAGAGAGAACCATCTCGCTTGGAATTGCTGCTGCATCGCTTAAAGAAAAAACATGTGAGCATAATGGTTAACATATACTACGAGAGAATTTTAAGATTGTGAAGTAAGACTGAATACAAATGTTATTTGTGTTTCTTCAGTTTGTAGTATGATGTGGCATGTATAGCCTCATCAAAACCTATGACATTCTAATTAACAATTTAACATGCACCAAAGAAAGTGTTTCTGATCAGAAAGTGAAACTAAATTTGGAATTTTGTGTTAGTGACATTTCTAAAGAAGGGAAATAAAAAAAAACACTTTGTTTAAAAACTAGATGGATATATTCTATTCATAAAAATATATTTTTTGGGGGAAAAGAATAGTAGTTTGTTCATTACCAGTGAGGCAAATAGGAAGAGGGAAAGAAAGAATAGCATCTTGCAGGCGGTGTCAAAGGAGGAGGAGATTGCACCCCACGCGAGCGACGCCATGCTCGGCGCCGCGAAGAAGAGGAAGAACACTGGCCGGAGCATGGCCGGCAGCGCGTTCGCTCCGAGGAGCCTCTGGTACAGCGTGACGAACAGCACGGCGTAGTGCGCGACGGCGACGGCGAACACGGCGACGGCGCCCTCTCGCCACCCGAGCTCCGCCGCCGCCCTCGCCGTCACGAGGTTCGCCACCACCGTGATGTGGCCCGTCGGGTTGGCGGCCATGGACAGCGCCGTCCGGCCCTCGGTGAACCACTGCCCGTACACGGTGACGTCGAGCGCGAGGACCGGCGCCGCGAAGGCGCACCACAGGACGCGGCGCGGCGCGGCGCCCGGGCTCAGGAGCGACGACGGCGCCGACTGCAGCAGCAGCAGCCACGACGCCCACGGCGCGAAGAGGTAGTTCACGGCGATGCGGTGCCGGAACTCGGCGCGCACGGCCGCGAACCGGAGCAGGCAGCGCGCTGCGTAGAGCGCGGTGAGCGCGACCAGCGAGAGCAGCGCGAGCGACCAGAGCAGCACGGACGCCGCGGGGGGAAGATGCCGAGCCAGCGCGCCCAGAGCGCGCGGCTGCATGTGTTCGTCGCCGTCGCCGTCGCCGCCGCCGCCGCAGAGCGTGCGCCAGAGCAGCGCCTGCCCGCACAGCGAGAGGCTGATGCGGAAGTAGCCCGCGTCGAAGTGCGTCAAGATCGACGAGAAGCCCTCGAACGCCGACGGCGGCGGCGGCGCGTCGGCCGGCGCCTGCGGCGGCAGGGCGTGGAAGAGCTCTAGCGGTTTATGGCTGGTTTCCATCGTGTGCTGCTGCTTTTGTGCTTTACTCCATTTATATAGAGCGACGACGTTGGGTTTGTTTCTTTTCATCGCTTAGATGTCCAAAAATGGACCCTTGCGAGTGAGGTGGAAACCGAGGTGGGAGATTAATGACGAATGCTGTATTCTTGCATGTTCTGATTTTGCTGACGTCGTTACCATAAACGTGTACAATATTTTACTGGTTTTACAATGTTATTTTCAACTTTTTCTTTGTATCTTTTGGAGGTAGTGTCATGGATTTCTTTTGGGGATTGTCTAGTTCTCATCTGACTGAAATGAGAATGAGAAATGCAAAAAGTATATGATCAAATGGTATGCATTGAATTATGATAAGAAACGTTGGAGCCACATTCTAACTAGGTAGGTTAGAAACGTTGGAGCCACCTACCTAGTTAAAATGGAATGTGGCTCCAGCATTTTTTATCATAATTCCTGCAAAATCAGAACATGCAAGAATACATCATTCGTTAGTAATACGGAATATTTTTTTGTACTTGTATAATACGGAATATTTTTTTGTTTCCTGGCATCTAAAAAATATTTCAAATTCCGATCTAAACCAGAAGTGGTAGTAGACCACAAATGATTTTTAAGCCGGTAGTAATAAACATGTGGGTATCACTGCCGGATGGGTAGCTGTTGTGGTTAAGGGCTCCTTTGAAAAACAATTTTGAAAAATAAGTAGAGTAATAGAAAAAACATATGATTTTGATAGGAATACAAGTACTCCCACTAGAAGGGATACCCTCATCTTAATCGGTGGTAAGCCCCATCTCAATCGGGCACAGCGTCCATCACATGCTAGAAGTCACCGATGTGAAGAGTTATCTCAATCGGGCAAACGGCCGTCACGAATGAATATATCTCAATCGGGCCCTAAGTGAAGCCCGTCACCGATAGTTTTGACCCAGACGACCAGTCAAACTATAGCCCGTCACAGATGACCTATCTCTATCAGGCCACAACTAGCGCCCGTCTCATCTGTGACGGGCGTTAACTATAGCCCGTGCACGTCGGTCACCCATCCTAAAATTGCTCTAGACCAAACACGCTTAACATCAAAGTTCTTTGGAGATTGGTTTCCGGAAGAGTAGTTGTAACTTGTTGGTATGGGTATTCTATTAATCCCATTAAGCCCTAGGCCAGGATATCAAATTGGGGTTATTAAATGATTTCAAATGGAAAAGTCACCAAAACCAAAGTTGTAGAACTCATCGAGGTGCAAAACTTTTATTTTGGTCATTTCTCCATCTGACTCTATTTAAACAATTTGAAATTTGAAATTCAAATTTTGAAAAGTTCAAATAGAATTTTAGATCAGTGAACGACTTCAACTGAAAAAGTCATCAACAACAAAGTTGTATAACTCATCAAGACCTACACATTTTATTTTGGTTATTTTTCTATATAACATTTTTTGAACCGTTTGAATTTGAATTTAAAAATATAACAACTTCAAACAATATTTTCAAATACTAAATGATATCAACTGAAAAAGTCATCAACAACAAAGTTGAATAACTCATCAAGATCTAAAACTTTTATTTTGGTCATTTCTTCATACGACAAAGTGATAGTAACATTGTTCACAAAATTGACATATCTCTTATCTGGTTTTATAAACTATAACACATATATGTAAAATTTATGAATAATATTACTAACATTTCGTCGGATGAAGAAATAACAAAAATAAAAGTTTTAGATCTTGATGAGTTATTCAACTTTGTTGTTGATGACTTTTTCAATTGAAATCATTTAGTATTTGAAAATGTTGTTTGAAGTTGTCGTATTTTCAAATTCAAATTCAAACTGTTCAAAAAAATGTTATATAGAAAAATGAACAAACTAAAAGTTGTAAATCTTGATAAGTTATACAACTTTGTTGTTGACATTTTTTCCATTTGAAATCATTTACTACACGTAAAATTGTCTTGACTCATAAAATGAATTATTATACTGCACTTAATTATTTTGCTATAGTCAAATTACAAATATAAACATTTCATATGAAAAATAGAAAAATAGTCATCGGTGACGAGCTTTAGTTAATGCCCGATAGAGATTAAGTATATAGCCCGTCACTGATGAGTCATCTGTGACGGGCCTAGTTGTTATCTCAAACGAGCCTCAAGTTGTGGCCCGTCACGGATGATGGTCATCTGTGACGTGCCACAACTTGAGGCCCGTTTGAGATATGGAATGTTATCTCAATCGGGCCTAAAGTTGGTGCCCGTCACAGATAATGGTCATCTGTGACGGGCCGCAACTTTAGGCCCGTTTGAGATATGGAATGTTATCTCAATCGGGCCTAAACTACGGCCCGTCACTGATAGGTGTCATCCGTGACGGGCTTAAGTTTTATGCCCATCTAACATGTCTGTGCGACCATATCTCAATCGGACACTTTTTGGCCCGATTGAGATGACTTTCTTATGACGGCCCGCTATTTCTAAGCATATTAGAGCCCGTCACAGATAGAAGGATCTGTACTAGTGTCCCTCCGTTTCACAATGTAAGTCATTCTAGCATTTTCCACATTCATATTGATGTTAATGAATCTAGACATATATATCTATCTAGATTCATTACCATCAATATGAATATGAGAAATGATAGAATGACTTACATTGTGAAACGGAGGAAGTACAAAATAAAAAATTGCAAAACAAAGAAAAAGAACAGGAATGATAGTTTGAGTAGACCGCATGAAAAACGTATAAATTGAATGAGAGAAATTGAATAGACTTAGGCTGTGTTCGCTAGTCCATGTTCCCAACCGGGAACAGTACATACGGAAAACGGAGTAGTCCATTAGCACGTGATTAATTAAGTATTAGCTAAACTTTTTTTTAAAAATAGATTAATTTGATTTTTTTAAGCAACTTTCGTATAGAAATTTTTTATAAAGAAACACACCGTTTAGCAGTTTGAAAAGCGTGCGTGCAGAAAATGAGGGAGAGGGGTTGGGAAAAGGGGTGCCAAACACAGCCTTATGCGGTTACATACTTTACTTTGTGACACGATAATGGCAACAGTATTGAGATAAAGCAATCTTGAGACAATGTGCAATTAAAATTATGAGTGTTTGAGTTTCCACAGCTTTGTGCTGGTCTAGGTAACTACTGGAATATAAAAGACCCATTGTTAGTGTTACAATGTTGGGAGAGGTTGATAGCTACTAGTCAATTAGATTCTTTTTGTCCATTATACACAAATTCCATGGACATGAACTCAAAAGAAAGATATGTAATGTCAGTGCTTTGTCATCCCTGCATAATGATGCATGTACCACTCAGCATTGACACCTCGAGTTAGCCGAATGTTTCTTTTACACCATTTTTTTCAGCTGTCAAAAGGTTGTGCACTTGTGCATGAGACGCACGCTTTTTGGTCAGAGCATTTCTTCGTCGATGCAACCACTATGGAACAAATTGACTCTCCTTTCGTAGGATTATAACTGAGATTAGACCACTTGCAAATAACCAGCACATCATTACTTTTTGAGTCTAATCAAACTTCTCCTGTACTTCAAAATAAACTTTTTTTTGGTCTAAAATGCGTGCATTTTGTGCATTGTTGATTGTATTAACAGGTCAGTCACACCCAGCATGTCTTTGCAACCCTGCGGATGAGTATAATTGACAAGTGAAGCACAGGCACTTGGCCAACTTGTGCCATGCCTGACGATATGCAGCCTTTTTTTTATGCCAAATCGCATATGTTCAACCAATATTATGAAACCAATACTGTTTGAGAAGATAGGATTAGGATGGATGCAAGTACTGCTTTCATACGCAGAAATGTTGTATGGGCAGACACAACCAGCTGTGTATCTAGGATTTTAGATTTAGGTGGTCCAACTTACAATTTTTTCTTTAAATACCATAAATATAACAAAGTAATAGAAGTATAAATTTATCAAATGTATATCATAATATATTAATAAGAAAGTTTTTCTTTTGTCAAGAACTTATTTTTACATAGTTAGCACTGCTAGAAATATTAAAAGTACTGTTAGTTTTGGATCTTACGAAAAATGGTTGAAGTGGACATTGAACTTCAACTGAAAATTCTGACAAAATTTAGGGTCTTTTGATCAAAGGCCCAACTCTCATATTGCTTGTCTCTGTCGCAGAATGTTTCTCACCTTTGCTCCATAGTCTTCTGACTTCTGAGCGTTTGTTCGTACTGTGTATTCTGAGTAAACATGTAGATTTTCCATCAAAATGCAATCATGTACTAGCTTGTCAGATAATGACCTTTGATATATGAAATACGGCTACCTTGCATACAAACAAGTGCGCGACATATTTGTAAAAGAGACAGAATTGAACTCCAGCTGTTGATAAATTTCTGAAAGCACCGGTGGAGAAACCATCTTTCGTCGGTCGGCCGAATTCTACAATAGTCCCGGATGCAATAAAAACCGGGGCTAAAGATGATCTTTAGTCCCGGTTAAAAAGGGTAACGGGCATATTTGATCTTTAGTCCCGGTTCAAATGCTGTCAGGGCCTGTCAGGCCCCCCCCGGGATCTTTAGTCCCGGTTCGTAACTTTAGTCTCGGTTGGTAATACCAACCGGGACTATAGATCTCGGGAATCTTTAGCCCCGGTTGGTAACACCAACCGGGACTAAAGTCCCACCCCTATATATATGTCTTCTTCCTCCTCCAGCTGCCCGAACAAGCTTCAAAATTTCTTCAAAAAAGAGGGGAGGTCATGCCAAAATTTCTAGTGAATTTATTTTGGTGATTATATACAAATCGGAGGTGCCTAAAAGGTTTGCAACTTCATCCTCCAATATTTTTTTTGTCATATTACATTTGCAGCTATGTTTTGCACACTTTTTTGTCTCCAAAATTTAGTTGTAAGTTGATGAGGGAGAAAATTTGTGTGGGGGAAGAAAGAATATATAGAAATTTAGTTGATTTGCTAAAGAAGGTTTTATAAAATAGTTGAGAAGGAAAAATATAGTGAAAGTTAATCTTGAATACTAGAAAACAAACTAAAATGAAA